TTCCAGATAATTTAAAAAACAACATAGATTTAGTACAAAAATATTCATAATTCTTACCATCTTTTTCTCTTTTAGTAGTTATTGCAGAATATAGATTATGGTGGACTTTTGTACAAAATTTATCTAAAATTCCATCTTATCTATCAGAATTGCTAAACCATTGTAATGAAAATTACTATCCAAATATCAACAACATTTTTAAAAATCGTGGCAACTTTAACCGTTACAACAGCTACTGCAGAAAGGTCATTTTCGACATTACGACGTTTGAAATCTTATCTCAGAAATATCATGGCAGACAATCGCTTAAACGGATCGGCTCGGCTAAATATTCACAGGAAAATTAAAAAATCAGTCTAGAAGAAATGTTGGACGAATTGTCAAAAAAAAAAAGGGGGGGGGGAAATGATATAGTATTGTAATCAGATGATAACTGTTTCAACCCTGGAAATTCGAATATATAATATATTAAGTATATAATAAATAAAGTTTAATATTTTGCGTTTGTTTAAACACAATGAATCGATTAATTTCATCGTTTCAACACGCGTTATATTTTTACAAACAGTAAGTTTAAATGAACCCCCATAAAAAGTTGCCGGATACGCGCCTGCGACGGACCACAAGTATTCACAGATTCGCATACACATCACAGCGTCGCGGTGCGTACGAACGTGTGCGTTATTTTATTGTCCCTTTGTGTTGGGCGGTCAAAATAATACGATGTGCGCAATGACGATACGCACGTCGGTTACAATAACAATAATAATTGTACCGTATTGTACGCGATGAGCCAAACGGAATAAAACACGCAGCGGCCCTCCCGTAAACAACAGTGCAACACGACCCGGTTACGATAACAACAAAAACAACGGAACGACGCGCAATAAAAATACGTATTCGGGCGATACGTACGCGCAACGTTGAGCGCTCGCGAACCGCCGGTCGGTCGGGCGGGCGGTGGCAAGCGGCGGTTTTCGTGATGGCGGCCACGGCGGCGAAAGGGTCCGGGCGGTGCGGCGGCGGTGTAGGGACGCGAAAAATATTACGCAGTAAGCGAAACGATGTTGGCGGAGAGCGGGCGAGGGGGAGGGAGAGAGAGAAAACTTTCGCCGGTACGCGGGGCCGAACGTCGTGCCGAGTCGTCGTTACGTCACGGCAACAGCAGAGCCGAGCAGCGTGTCGGCGTGTACGGTAATTATCGTGCCCGCGCCGGTAACCGAACACCGCGGCGCACGCGCCCGGCAATGTTTTTATACCGCGCGAAGCCCTCTCGCCGGCTCAGCACTCGGTTAACTCGGCTGGTCCCCGAGCGCGCGGCGGCGGTGGCGGCGGCGGCGGCGACGTTCGCGCTACGGGTGTATGCCGGCGGTACACGGTTGTTCGGCGCGCCGCGAGCGTTCCCGTGTGCGCGCGCCGAGTCGATGTCGAAGTGGGTCAACCAATGTAAACACGGCACCGAGGTCACCGGCGACCGCCACCCCACCCACCCGGCCAGGTTGTTGTTTCGTCGTCGTCCCGAAAGTTGTGTTTACGCCGTGTCAGCTGAGCGCGGCCGCTACAATGCCGGCCGGCCGGCGCGAAGCTCGCCGCGCGCCATCGCAACGTCCCGTCGGCGCGCAACAAACATTTTGTCGTCGTTGCCCCGTTCGCCGCACGATCTTTTCGCCGTACCGACGACCAGATCTGTCGAGCTACGCGGATACAACATTATAACCGCTGTCCTGTCGGTCCCCCCTCCTCCTCCGCTACGGTTCGATGTAGGTACACGTCCTGCCAATGTGCGCGAAAAATGATCGTTATGTTCACGTCGATTTCTCCGTACCGCGCCACGTACGGTGTACCGGTGTACCTGCAGTGCAGCACTCCGGCCGCTCTCGGTACCCGCAGTGGCGTGGCCAACTGCGCGTTCGGTGTCTTGCGGTTAACGGAAAGTTTCGGACCGGGGGACACCCGCCGAGGTCATATTGGGCTCTCTACTAGAACCGTGCCGAATGATTTTCATTTTCGCTGTAAACAAAGTGCATATACAAGTCCGTACGATCCGTTTCGATTACAGGACCCATGACGATTAGCGCGTCATAAAAATACATCGAAAACATTACGGCTGGACGTTGCCAGAAGTTGTACGAACTTCGCACGCCACTTAAATCCATCGCGATATAAACGATTGTTGGTCAGTCGATTATTCTGAACGCACAGCATTCCTTTTGTTTTTTATACGCCGATCGTGTGTCTTGCGACCCATTTACAAATAGAACCCGGTCACGTTAAAATTTTGCTCTCCGTTTGACCGAGAAAAGTAGGTCACTCCGGTGGTCGAGTATTGCGTCTGTTACGTTGTGTGACGACGGAGTGCTAATGGATATTATGTATAGTTTACAACACACACACATACACATATAGAGGTGAATTGCACGCGGTTTTAATGTCATGGCGTCATTGGATTATAACAATTGGACTTTTTTTTCGCATCCGAAAGTTATTTATTACATAAAACACAGTTTAACTGTTGTGTGTATGAGGTTATGGACAGGCACAATTTGTCATAAACATCGATGATCGACGCACAGCAGACACGAGCAATTAATAGGACGTGCCCGAAATATAATAATCATACTGCGCAGAACGTATTACGAATTTCGTGCAGATATTATGTTTCGGTACAAATATTCTAACGCGTACGTGTTGGTCACAATGACGACCGCGGTAGCATAGCGCCAGCTTGAACAGCAGTTCCGACACGTACCTGAGGTTATATTATTGTAAATAATAATAATGTCTCGTTATTCTATTAGTTATTTTATAGTTTTATTATGTTACGCAAAACGAAATAGATATTATATATTTCTTTAATATCTATTATTATTACGATTTGTGAGCTTGCATTATTTTATTGTGACGTATGAATGAATCGCGCGGACCAGTTATAAGACGCTTACGTTCTTTTTTATTAATAACAGAAATACATCGCCGTTTTTGTTGAACACGGGGTAAACTAGATTCCAAAACGGAATTTACTAAAAATCAAACGCAACCGGGTATAATATAATAATAACCTTAGAACTTGTTAGTGTATTACGTGTGCAGTATTAATGTATGGAACCACCATATGTGCTTTTGCTAATGGTAAAAATAAACAATAAGTATTGTCCATACAATGTAACGATTTATATGGTTTTCCGTTTGCGTGTTTGTGGAAAGCTTTAAGATTATAACAAAAAAAACAAAATTATTTCAAAATCCCATTATGCATTTGGGTTTCACCTTCTTTTGGGTGGGGACTTAATTGCACCTTATATTCTGAGTTCAAAAACACATTATAAATACACCTTAAAGCGTATTTTGTTTGTTTTCAAGGTGTACCCGAACTCCCAAACGAATTAGTAAATTAAAAATTATAAACCGTTTTAAGATATTTATCATTTTCTTTTGCTAAATGTACCTATTATGAAAGATGTGAAACGTACGATGAAGATTTATTTAATATTTTCTATAGTATAAGTAAGGATGATTTGTATTTTAAATGGCAAAGCCGAAACATTAAAATCATCAATCATCATTTTATCAACCACTGATAAAAAAAGAGCATTGTACCTATTTATTATTTCTGCCTATATTAAATTTTTCTTATTCTATAGTAGTTGCGAAGATTAATTATAATAATCATATTGATGTACGGAGATCTGGAAAATGGATATTTTTTAATATTATTGGATATTATATAAAATATATGCATTACAGGTTGAATTTTAATAAGATTTTCATTCAATTAATTTTTATTTTATTCACATGCCTATACGTAAATGTAAATTTATGCATACAAAGTATTATATATTTTAATTAAATAATGATACACCGTATTAATATAAATTATAATGTAGTAAACATTTTTATTAACTTGTTGAAATATGTTTTGTTTAATACAATAACTTCTCATAGGTGGTCCTGCAGTTGGATTACATTGTTAGGTCTGTGTTGACGCAAAATATAAAATTATAGGCTAATATAATTTTAGTAATTTGTTATATACTATTTGTAAAATAGGTACCTAATAATAATAATTCTTAAAGACTGAAATATAAAATGTAATTTGATACATTTTTTAAAACAATAGTTTAAACCTGTACATACATATTTATACATTATTACTATACCGACTGTTACTGAAATTGTAATCTATAATTTCCAAATGTGTACAAAAAGATAATATCCTAATTAGTGTTTTTTATTTATTATTTGAATTGTATATTTTGATAATCATCAAATTTGTATTGTACACACAAAAGAAAGAAATTATATCTCCACTTATTATAATTATATTCGTCGATAGTGCATACGTAGGAAAAATGTTCGAAATGCAACATTTTTTTTTTCTTTAATCGTTATTCTACACGATAAAAAGTTTCAATTAAATTGTATTAATTTTATGTGTAATCAAACGGAAGAAAAAACATCCTAGTAAAACCGATTATCCTACGAAATCGTTATTATTTCACAACGTCAGATCGTCTCGGTTCATGAATTTATTCCGAAATTATTAGTAACACGAAATCGATCGTATACTTCACACGCATGTAAGCGCTATTGCACAAAATAATGGGATAACTATTATTGTTGGAAATACCGATGACAACAAGAACAAAAAAAAAACATTCTCTAAGAGCGATGACGTCATAAAATTATTACAGCTACCGGTGAAATGATCACGGACGCGTTTTTAAATTTGAGGGATCGCCTTCGACGTGTACGGCCTTTGAGAATCGCCGGGAAGGAAGGAACTGGCGAAAGCGATGAGCAAAACGACCGAAACAACGGCATCGGTAGCGCCGGGATCGAAAATTCATCGCGGATTTCCTTTGTGTACGAAAAGCGGATTCAGGATGCGCGTCGGAATACTGTAAAATAGTAGAACGCAAAACCGGGTCGATATAGTACGGTAAATTGGTATCACTGCGCGGATACCGGCAACCGGCATTGTCAGCTGTGGCGTCGAACATTAGTGCTAAACACCACGTCCATAGTTACGTTTAACGTCTTGCCGGTGCCGGTAGTGTTCCGTCTCGCGGCCCACGAGAGCGGTTTGAATTTTTGTGTTAACGCGGTCCACGTAAAATCGAACTCTCATAATTGTACGTTCGCGGAAAAACAATTCGTGCGGTTTTTCTTACGAAACTCTACCGCCCTGAGATAAGTACATTTGATTTATTTTTGTTCGTTTTTTCTCTCGTCTTTTCGTATACGCTCGAACGAAATGTGTTTAAATTTCGCGAATCGGTTCGTCGGCGGATAACCCCGACGTGGGTGTCGCTTGAAAAATATTAATCGACCGCGTGAAATCGGAATATTTAATCACTCCGTCGGTCATTATTTATTATTATTATTTTTTTTTCGTTCGCTCGTATGCGTGAAAATCTTAACTGCCCGACCGCGCTGTCTCACACCGTCAAGCTGGACACCTCGTTAGCGATCCGAATGCGGCAGCGGAACGGTCTGGCCGCCGGCGCCGGTAAACGGTTGGCCAAGCGGTCCATCATCGGCACGCGTGTCTGCGCGCCGGCCGGCGATGACGGTAAGCTGTGCGCCGGCATCATAGCCGCGGTCAAGACGGCCGCGGACGGCTCCGAGACCGGCTATTCGATCAGGTTCGACGACGGGACTGCGTGCCGACGCGAGTACCGGGCCACCGAGCTGGTCGGCCCGGGTTTTCAGACGCTGTCCGATTTGCGGCTGATGGCCGGGCAACGGGTGTATATCACGTTCAACGGTCGCGAGATATCCGGCGACGTGGTCGTCCACAGACCGGACACGGAGGAAGTACGTGTTTCCATCACGCCACCGGGACACGAAGTAAGGACAAAAAACAACATTAACGATAATAGTCGTTATAACAATAATAATCGCAACGATAGCGTGGAAAAAAAATTACCGCTATAAAATCCGTAATAAGTATGGTAATTTTATTATCAATCTAATGGTGTTCGTGTCGCGGTTGAAAAATATCGCCGCCGAGTTTGGCGCCAAAACGTTGAGCGTTTTCCGTCTGTTTACGCCCGCTACTTGTTGCCGGCCGGCCTCGCGGCACTCGCGGCCGTCAACGATGATTTTCGGACGATTCCATCAACTTTTACTCTATTCGTTGATATTGTTTTTCGTTCGTGTCTCGGGGCCGTCCTGTTAAAATACAATGATTACATGTTGGACTTGTCCGGCGTAATTTTCCGTGTGGGCACGCCAATTTTACCGGGTCGGCGGTTACAATATGCGCGGGCGACACGGCTGCCAACGTGACGGAACGAACCGGCCGGTACGGCCGCTGCTGTGTCGCCACTGACGTACCCGCTGTGTTATTTCTGAAATCACCCGCTGCTTCGTATCTCCCAAACCAAATGACGAGACACAGAGATAATCTGTATTTTATTTATTCATATTTTTTTCCCCTCCCGTCGGCTATTGTCCTGTCACAGCTGTTCGGCGGGTTTGTGCCCAGTACGTCGTAATCCCCTGTTTACAGACGTAGACGAACGTTGACTTTTACGGAATTCCAAATTTCCTCCTTTCGACCCTAATCGAACCTGTTGTCTAAGTATATTAAAAAAATGAATACTTGGACTGAAACGGTTGTTCGACTTTTCCCGGACACGATTTTAATGCGGGGGAGGGGGGGGGGGGGTTTGGTAATAGTAGGACGGCACAAAAATCGCCTTTCAAACAGCCGGTTAGGGTTATCTAACATTATTATGTGAGACACGATATCTTCCTAACGTGGGTAGTAAACCGTCGATCGCTGAGAACGTTACCTACGGAAATCAGAAGACCGTCCGAACGGATACTCATACGCGTCTGTGGGACGACCGCGACGAGTTTCGCTTACTGCGCAGTTGGAACCAGTTCGGAATGGATGCATGTAGGGTCTCCTCGCGTACTTTCTATCGTATTTGAGTTTACATCACCCGACGCTTCGGTGTATGCGTATAACAATAATAACATCTACAATATAATGCACCTTTCTCCCGGTGCGTACGCGACATTCCGCTGCAACGACTTGGCGAAAGGACATTGTAATTGCGTCAAATACGCGTACCCCCCCCACCGCCCGCTCGACGGTTTCTGTGCCACTCGGTGGCTGGAAAGTCTCGTAACAGTTCACACATACGTACAGGGCAGGGGAAAAGTTCAAACATTGCACTCGTTATCGGAACCCGAGCAATTAATTCCGCGTGCATGGTTATTAATTTTATTATTGAAAAAATAATTATGCACATGAAATTGCATGCTCGACCTTGACTTTGCCGGAATGTGCGCGTCTGATATCGTAGATTCGATTTCCAAATCCGGGTCATCGAGTCGGACCATAGAAATTCGCCTAATACTTGTGTACCTATCTATTGTAATGCCCATCTCATGTGTTCTCTTGTGATATGCATAATGAACTGGTCGCAGATAAGAATATTTTTCAAACCTTGAGTTCTTCGCTTGGATCATTCTACTTCCTAATCGTTTTTATTTTTACTCGCATTAAATTAAAAAAAATAAATAAATATATTGAAAATTGTAAACTTTGAATGTTTGAATTTTACCGATTTCACGAGGAAACGAACCGGTCTATTGCGGGCGGAGTGAAAGCAATTCGTTTAAATTTTGTTGGTTATTAAATGTTGATTCATCATCACCGGCCAGTGACCAGTGAATTATGAAGTTAAAATTATATCCACCCACCGTGCATGGAACTTATTGATAGCTTATTAATTCCCTGGTATTTTCTTTTGCAGTGTTCCATTGAAGTAATAAAGAAATTGGACGACGTGCGTGTATTGGAGTCCAGAAAATCGGCACGTCTTATGGATCAAACTACAGATTTTGCCAGGTTGGCTGACATGTCTGATAGGAAACGTAGTTCATCCTCTCAGAATGCTGTTGAAATTAGCGGGTAAGTTTTCATAAATAATAGAAATCGTAATTATATTCTTAAACATTATTACAGTATACGTGGGCATTATTGTTTAATAATTATTATTCTTTTTTTGACTGACCTTTGACTTGTTCATAGTATGACTAAGGATAATAACTTGAGCAAACAATTTTTTACGCTTACGATGTGTCTGATAGCGCATTACAACGAGAGCAACATAATAAATTCGTAGATAACGTTCAAATAAAATGTTTACTTCTTGATGGAGACAATGCAATAGTTGAATAGCCCATGTTTTTAAACAACAAATATTATAATATTTAATTTCCGAGTTCTGTTTATCATATCTGTAGGAGGTGTCTCAGTAACCTGTCACTCTTTTTGAAGCATGAGAAATTTACACCTATTTTCTATTTTGGCACCGTGTCATATTTGTTAATCGGGCATCAGTTATCATTAATAATAGAATGCTATTGATGTAATAACTACGAATATACAATAATATTATTATGCTTTAGTGTAACTTAAATAAATTTTTATTTTAATTAATAAAAAAAAAAAAAACCTAATTAATGTTATGTCATAAATAATTAAGTTCTTCGTCGTAAAAAGTATACATCGTAATACATCAAATTGTACCAACAATTTGATCTATAGTTTTTTTTTAAAATAACTATGATACCATAGTAATAATATAAGTAGAAAAGGATATTAATACAAATAGGCCAACGGCATCAACAGAAAAACGATCTGTATACGGTTACAGTATTTGGCACGGTGTTTTCTCTCTTATCGTATGTCCGTTCTTATTTCTTTCGTTGTATGATTCTAATCTCGAGTTGTTGCCTAGATATATTACAACGAACCTAACGTCTTCAAACCCTAATTAGGTGGTGAATACGGAATAGATTTTCCATTTACGATGCACAGGTACTCAAGCTGTTGTAGCTCGTGTAGTCAGCGCAGTCGTACGCCGTTCACTTTGAGCGGGCGTCCTTAAGAAAAATGCATCGATAGAGTTCCGGTTCCGCGACTTTGTGAAATTTTTAATTTTAACTTTAACTATATGGCTTATATAACGTTGCACACATTTCCATGTTGTACAAAAACAGAATTCGTACGCCCAAATGTTTGTACGACGTAATATATTGTTATTGCAGTGTAACACTACTATAATGGTGGTTCCCCTCTTCACGTGATGCGAATTATGTCCGGAGACCTTGTTCCATCGTAAAACCGTATTTTAGATTATTAAAACATGCATGGATTTCTGTGGCGGGGACGGAGAGGTATAGTAACGAAAAAAAAAGAAAAAGAAATAGCGGCCCTCGAATCAGCTGGTTTTTATTCAAGGTCGGTTGACATATGAACGGCCTTGCTATGTTGCCGATGTGTTACATAGCCGGTAAATCATTTTAAAACCAGTGCACTGTACTTATGTCCCAAATATGTATTCGTAGAGTCGAGAGTGTGTGTATGCACACGCACATACGTTTGGCTGTACCGTAAAAGGTACGTGGCCTCGTGCGTAGGCTTGTTATAGTTGTTTTAATAACAGTCTAGTCAATCGGTCATCACGGTACGAATAAAATATTTGTAAATGTTCTTTTATCAAAAAATATTTCACAAAAAGAAAAATTACGAATTTCATGTTATGCATATTAATCGATATTTACCGAAAACCCGTTCAACTGTGACCTGGTGTTTTGCTGCTACTACTAAGTTTGGCGATATTTTCTATACATTTTATTACGTAAAAGACTTTTTTTACATACATTATATATGGTGATGTGAAAAGAAATTTAGTGCTGTGTTGTTCACCCGACGTTTTTTCGGCAGCCATATAGCGAGTGAAAAAAATAAAACGTACCCTAGGTCGTGGCCTTTATATGACCAATGTTATGAAATCTGGTTCGCTACATACTTACGCGTATACGAATCAAATACAATCAAGTTCAATATTATTTCGCAACGTTAGCCACGCAAGTGCATGAAGTGTGAACATGACAAGATTTTTAAATAAGGTGTATACAGTGCGGTGGGTACACGAGGCGACCATGAATGAGAGTCGAACTGCCGACGGTTGTTGTTGTAGTTTTGGCCTACTTATTGCCGTTTTCAGCCACGTCGGGCGTGGTGGTATCCGAGAAAATTGTCTTCGCCGAACATTGTTGTATTGTTATTGCTATTTTTTTTTTTATTTTTTTAACTTTATATTCCGGAACACTTAGGGACCGACATTCGGCAGGAGTATAATTAGTTTTCGTATAATATGTATACCACCAAAATTGTATTTACTTTTTCAAACAGTAATTGCGCAAATAAAATCACTCGACCATCACGTTAAGTTATGCAATAACGGTGGTTTACTAATAAATCTCTACCGTAAACGATATTTGTGTACACATATTATTTACATACGCGTCGTGCTTATTGATCGATGGTTATATGTCTTTTATTTCGTATAAAGATGAAAGTTATAACTTGACTTTGAATTTGCTGTCTCTGATCGGTATTTAAACGTGTCAATTGCATACATAATCCGGTAATAATACTTTAAATCTATAAGAATAATTGGTATTACGATATCAACTAGAAAACCATGATCAGTATTCATGGATATTTATAACGCATAGTTTCTAAATTAAAAAAAACTTGTAATATTATAATAGTACCGCGTTGTTTATTTCGCTTATACCTATATAGTTTAGTCATCCTTGGAATGTTTAAATATAGAATTCTCACCAGGTGTGAATCCAGTTGTTTACCCTGACCTTCCATGATAGTTTGGCTGAGGCCAAGTTTTAAAAAATAGAAATGTTGTTTTTATTGAAAACGATTTGTTGATTTTTTGATAATATTATGGTATAGTGTTGTTATTTTATATGATAATAATTAATGAACAGCACATAGAATAGATTTGTGATATTCGGAATTAATAAGAAGTACGATTTGTTCATCATAGATCACGCAAACGTCGACCTAGCAGTAGCCAAGATCAGGACGAATCCCGCGAAGAGGAAATGAAAGATGAAGAGGACGATAATGAGCCAAAAGAGGAAGAAATGACAGAATGCACCGCGGCCTTGGTTTTGATGAGTTTGTCATGCAGTCCCCACTCACCATCTATACAAGGTTGGTATTCAGATTTTGTGTAATTTTTTTTTTTTTCATCGGTCGCGTATGCGTATAAGCCCTATGTTGTTTTTCGCAATAGTACAGAAAAAAAAAATTTCCATTGTTTTCGTTTTAGTTGATACTTTCACTTGAATCCGTGTGTTGTATTTTGCGCATTCTCGAACGTGAGAAACCCCAATGGAAATCTCCTGTAAAACGGTCGGAGTTTGTACAGTAATTCGATCAAGAGTGGGTCGGAAAGTGGCGGATTGTGTACGGTGATAAAATGCTACTTGTACATTTGTGACTTAGGAGTAGGGGACATATAGGTATTATAATGAATACATACCTTCGTGTAATGCAATGTGTATATTTTTATTAAACGTGGAGGGGAAGCTGTTACGCGGGATTTCACTTTCAGTCATGCTCCACAACGTCCTTTCTCCACGGTTTCACAATATTTCGTATCGCCGTGTTCAAAAAAAAAAAAAAAATTCAATAAAAACTGAATATTCATCAAATGATTTAAACAACGACAGCTGCGTGAGGAGATAATATTGGCAAAATCGGACTTATTACACGGTGCGCACAGCGAGTGAATTGCTCTGCGCTTCAGGTGTTACAGGGTAGTACGGACCGCACACAAAATGATATACCTACGCACAGGAAGCTAGAACATGCAATCAACGTGGTTTCGTGTAGCCGCCCACAGCGCGAACAGGGACGCTGTTGTTGTTTTGTGCGTGTTTTATTTTTTATTTTTTTGTTTCACGGTGCATTGACACTAAATCACGGTGGCGTATATAGATGCAATATACGTAACACTACATTTACGTTATCCGGCAGTGGCGTCGACAGCCGTTCGTTGACCTCCGATTTGACCAGCACCGCGGCTATGGCCGGTGTGTACGCGCAGAAAAACCATGTTAACGTACACGTCGAACGCGAAAACTGTACGTACACGTGTACTACATAACTGTACTAGCGTCCAATTAAACCGTCCTGTAGCGTGTAATCGTATTCACATGTGCGTGTACAAATACGAACGGGTTCGGGGTGGTGTTACACATATTTCGGTCAACATACCCCCCCGTGCACCGGAGACATCAACGTGGAATTTTGTTCGTGTACGCGTTATCGCGCTCGGTCGGGGACGTCGTCAGATTCGAGCATGGTCGCACCACAAATCCGCTCTTTCCGTCTCCGTTACTTAACACCATCGCGCGCGGTGGTTGTGCAGCAGCTCCGCTCGCCGTGCCAACGTGTACAACAACAATAATAATGATGATGATAATAATAATAATAATAATATCGTAGAGAGTTGCTCAACCATGGCCTAGATAATAGTAAAAGTGAAAATGCAGCTTTCTACGAAACTGCGCGTCGAACGCCGCCACCGCTCGTCACGCCGGTCGTGTACAGCTGCGGACGCGAGCGCGTTTAACATTATCGCGCGGTTGTTTCGTAACCAGGACAGTGTTAAGGACGGCGCGTTACCTGTTTCTCTCTCTCTCTCTCTTTCACTCGGCCGCGCGATATGGGGGCGATTCGTGCGAAACGCTCGACATTGATGTGACAAGGACGCCGCGGCTCGCCACGCATCGGCTCGGAAACTGTGTCGGCACCCGCAGCGGCGTTTGCGACCGCGTCGACGATCGTGTGCGAACGCGTTGGGTGACATACATTTCCGTCGAATCCTGCGGCTCGTGCACATGTTTTTGGCGCAGCACCGTCGTCGTTCCTTGCGTAGAAGACATATATACTCCTCGTATGTTGTTCGTTTCACCGTGCGTAATAACTTCCTTGCGTGGATCACAGATTGTGAGGGGGGGGGGCGTAGTAAACAAATTGGGCTGGGACCTATTCCGTGTCACCACACGTTTATATTATTATTTTCGTTGTTGTTGTGCGACTCCTCAGCGAGAATACTCGCGTAAATAATTATAATTCGCAAGTAGTCATGCACGTGTAACGTACGGTTTTCGCGCGTGTCGTTTAGACGCGTCGATTGAGTCGCTTTTGTCCAGAAACGGTGTGTTGTAACACGCCACAGCTTTGTCCTCACGCGTCCGCGCACGTATATCATAGCTTTAGCTCGATGTTGCGTAATCCACTTGGATGTTTTCACCACCTAACATGGTGGCGGAGCCTCCCATGTCCATAGTTATGGTACACCTTTTACGCGCGCGCGAGGAAGGCCTGTTTATTAATCCTTCGTCATCTTAAAAGGGGGACTTCGTCCGTGACTGTCCATCGTCCGGTATTCTAATACGTCTAATACGTACGTAATATACGCGCGCATTTGAAAAAACTCAAATTCATCACACACGCGGTCGACGTGTACCTAATAAATTACCTATAAAAGAATTATGTACGTTCTCGATGACGAATGCCGTAAATTTAAACACCAATTTACATCAACTGCGATTGATGTTTCCACGGTTTTCAATCGATTATTTGTTTAATCTAATAATTCAATTGGCAGTGCAGCTTTACCGTTAACTCTTTGTGTACGTAATGATGTGCATAATGCACTGTTTTACTTAACATCGATGGAACGGTTTTTTATCGGTCAATTGTACTCATTTATGTCTGCGCGTGCCTCTTAAATATTACAAGTAAAATCTAATATTTACACGCTTTTACAATATCATCACCACCGGCAATTCGCGATCGTATGGTATAAAATCTAATACGATTTATTTGCTTGCATTTAATGACATATTTAATGATTATACTAAAAGTTGTCCTATAAAAATCTGTTTTATTTATTCATCGGTTTTGTTGCACCGTTATCTCAATGACGGCTGCGACGTGTGTTTGTTTTTATTATTATTATTTGCGATTTGCTTAGGTATCACTCTATGTGTAGATTATTGTAATTTTGTTGATTTCGATTCGAAATCGTGCGAGTTTTCGTAGTTGTTGTTACATATTTTTTTCTGTACCGACGTAATCGCTCCGCGGTTGACGTTTATCACGTACAAAGTGCGTGTTCAATTGTGTACAACATAAATACATAATATAACGTACGATCTATATATATATATATATATATCTAGTATTGTTAAACCAATATTAAACCA